ATCCGCCCTTCTCATTAAGTATATTAATGACCACCTTGAGAAAATGGACCCCCCTTCAGAATTGAATAGAGAGGAGTTAATGGAAACCAGTATGTTTCCTACTCTTGCCAAGCCAGCAGACTATGTTATGCCATGGAGAGGTACTAGTGATTGGAACAGTGGTATCCTTCCAGCGAAAGAAATGTACGACGACAGGTATAAGTTTGTCGCAGGGTCCTCACAGCCAATCCTTGATGAAAGTGGGAGTGGCTGCAGTAAGTTAAGCAAGAAAACGCGGCATCTTTTTGGTTTCAGCTCCCGTAAACCATCGGCCCATGAGGTTCTTAACCAGTTGGAGCATGCAGTTCAAGCAATAGTCGAGTCGCCCCATGCGATCGAAACTTTGGAACAAGTCTTCCATTGCATATATGATTATTTACAAGAACTTTTTTTGGAACTAGATGGCGAGCGAATTATACATGCATTGCAAGGAAAGAAATGGATACTGGTTCAAGGAAATTGTCTATTGACCTCTCGACTGGCCTTCGCGTGGAAGCGATTTGGTGAGCCTTACCTGAATGAAGTGCCGCAGAATCTTGCGTTGAAGTATCGTAGGTTATTTCAAGCGACAGGAATCAAAGAGCATTTCTCCACCAAAGACGTCATTTCTGCACTTTACGAGCTCGATGAGGAGAAGCAAGGAGAACGCCTTTCTGCGAAAGAGTTTAAAGTTGCAAAATCTTTGATCGAGGAGATATCGGAAGCCTCGGAGAAATCCTTTGAAACGGAAAGAGGGAAGATTCCTCTGCCAGACCATAATCTGTTTTTACAACCAGCTGAGAAATTAGCCATTAATGATGCACCATGGGTGGCTGCTAGAAGTGGTATCGACTATGTTCACAAAGATCTATCGATTGACCTTGCATACAGGCTTGGAGCAATTGACATTCGAACGAAAAAACTATCCAGAATATCTCGTCCAATCGGACGTGAGTTTGGACAGCGAGAGGAGCTTACTGACCGTTTAAAGGGCATTTTGAAAGCATATCCATGCGATGTTGGAGTCCTAAAGGAGCTTGTTCAGAACGCTGATGATGCAGGGGCCACTGAGATACACTTCATTGTTGACCCTCGTAACCATCCTACGGACCAGCTGTTAAGTGACAACTGGAGGGAACTGCAAGGTCCTGCCCTTTGTGTTTACAACAACCGACCATTTTCCGAAGAGGATTTAGAGGGGATACAAAGGCTTGGAATTGGAAGCAAAACAGACGATCCTACAAAGACAGGTCAGTACGGAATTGGATTCAATGCCGTCTACCACCTAACAGACTGCCCAAGCTTTATCACAAATGGAGACATGCTTTGCATTCTCGACCCCCTTTGCCGCTACGCTCCTCAATCGACTAAAGAGAATCCAGGACGTATAATTGGACCAATTGGTGAGGAGGAACGATCGGACTTCCGTGATGTATTTCCTTGCTATCTGGAAAACCTGTTTGATCTGACATCTGCAACTATGTTCCGCCTTCCTCTAAGAACACAAAGCACGTCGTCAATATCTCAAAGGCGGGTTTCCCACACGGAAATGATGAAATTTATGAACCTGTTGGCCTATGAAGCTAAAGAAATAATTTTGTTTTTGAACCACGTGAAGACCATAACTCTTTCTGAAATCAAAGGGGACCAGCTAGAGGAAATTTACTCGGTTACGGCGCAGCTGACACCACACGATGAAGAACAACGCGCGAGGCTTGCAAATCATATAAAGGTATCCAAGACTCTGGAGACGAATCAAATTGAATGGCTTGGAATTACATATCCTCTCCTTGTTCAGGAACGTGGATTACGACAGGAAAAATGGCTTATTCACCAGTGTATTGGTCTCCAGAAAAGTACAAGTGAAGAAGTTCCCAACGGTGGAAGCTTTGGTCTCCTACCTCGCGGAGGAATAGCAGCAAAGGTGTCGGAGAAGTCAGAGAATTCAAAGTTCTATTTCAGCGAGAGAAGTGAACCAAGGCACAAGGCCTTTTGCTTTTTGCCATTGCCAGTTAATACAGGGCTCCCGGTTCATGTGAATGGTCATTTCTATTTAGATTCTGCACGCCGAAATTTGTGGCGTGATGAAAAAAAAGAAGGGTTCGGAAGCCAATGGAACCACTTCATCAAAACCAAGATTTTGTCCCAGGCGTACATCTCACTGATGCTAGTGGCGCGAGGCCATTTACCAGGGTTGAAAGAAGAAGATGCTACTTGCTTCCCCAGGGAATACAATCTTCACGAAGGGATGCGATGGTATCATAATCTCTTTCCAAATTTCAAATCTCTAGAAAGCCAATGGAAAGTTCTGGCAGAGGCAGTATTCAAAATGCTTTGCCTTGAGGATGCTCATTTACTTCCCTTGACCAAAAAAACGTCTGAAAAAACTATGGAGGCCTCTCAAGTTCCTCAAGCTGGTGTAGTCGTCCAAGATGTAATTCGCTGCTTTTGGCTTCCTCCTTCACAAGGCTTCTTTAACAATTTGACGCTAGGTAGTGAAACCGAAAGAGATCTATGGAAGATCCTTTTGAGAGTCGGTTTCAAGCTTCTTTATTCTTCGGTGACAGTCTTTAATAGCTTTAAAGAGGCAGGCACAAGTGTGAGAGAGATCACACCTGAATTCGTCATTCAGTTTCTAAAGGAGAACCCGAGTAGCATCGGTATGTTACCATGTCCCGTTGAAGAGACAACGCTTCGCTCTGTGAGGGGAGTTCTTCTTCTCCTCAGCTACTGCATGAAAGCCAAAAAATTTCCAACAGAAATGTTTGGTTTGCCTCTACTGCTGACCGAAGACAACGTCTTGAGAAGATTTAAGACAGATGGCCAAGTGTTTTTAAGCTTGTTTGCCGATTTGGTACCAACTCAGCGTTTTCAATTCATCCAACATACGTTGGCCACAGCTTTACTTCGGTTCGAGAAAGAGATTTTCGCCTCCGATCAAGGTGTTCTCAGGGAATTTGACATCAGTGCATTAGCATTGCTTCTACCGAGTGCTGCAAATGCTGGTTGGTGTGAAACGAACACTCTAATAACATGGAAGGTGAATGAACAACCGTCTGAAAGCTGGATGCAAAGGTTCTGGGAGTTCTTACACAAAACCTACCTGAGGAATCCGGAAGCCTTTTCTCTAGACCCCTTACAAAATTGGCCCATCTTACCAACCAAGTCAGGGAAGTTAGCACCAGTTTCCAAAGGGAAGGTAATTCTTGACCTCACCCGTTCAGATTCATGGTCACCTGGCCAGGAGCGTGTTACTACTTTGTTAAGGAAATTGAAATGTCCAGAAGTTAATGTCAATCTCATCAGCGATAATGGAAGGTGGGATGTATCGGACATACTGAAGTCTCGTGTCTCCTACCCCAACTCATCACAAGATGTACTGAAAGTACTGGATCACCTGATGAATGAAGGCGACATTTCTAATTTTCTGTACGAGAACGAAAAGGTCTACATGTTGCAGTTCTTTCAAGATGATTTAACAACTTTAAAGCAAAACCCAACCTCTACTTTTATCTTGAAAAGCTTGCCGTTTTTCAAGACTTTCCATGGAGAATTTGTCAGCCTTGGAAATTTTAAATCAGTTTACGAAATCCCAGTGGGTTTACCAACTGATGAGTCGGATATCTGGATGACAGGAAATAACTGTGTATTTTTAGCGCCCGAACCCAGGTTGACCCGCCTGTACAAGGATCTTCTAGGTGTCGGTGATAAAACACATACAGATTGTTATATCAACTTCATTTTCCCAAAGTTTCCCCTTCTCCGACCTAAAACTCGAATGCTTCACCTGGAATACGTTAGACGATGTTTACTGGCTCTGTACGATAACGAAGAGCAACAAGCAAGAGTTCTCAAATCTCTCAGCACCTTGGCATTTATTCCAGACGCCAATGGCACGTTACAAACTGCGTCTTATTTTCATGATCCAGACGTAAAAGTCTTCGCGGTAATGTTGCCTCGTGAAGCAAAGCCACCAGAGCCGTTTAACAGTATAACCTGGTTGGAGCTCCTTCGCAAAATCGGCTTAAAGCAGAAAGTCAGCAAAGCGGAATTCCAAACCTTTGCCAATCAATTGGCTACACAAGCAATACAGATGAGCAATTCAAATTATCCTTCATTGGAAAAGAAGTCAAAGACACTTGTTAAGCACCTCTTAAGGGACGACACTCTGCACGATGCAAAGTTCCTTGAGGACCTCTCCACAATAAAATTTGTAGCCTGTCCAAAGGCGAGTGACGACTTAAGTCTCCTTCGACGGCAGCATCTGGTACCTAATCGAGATCAAATTCCTCCATTTAACCATTTCAAGCACTCAATTCCATGCATGCATGAGGCACTAGCATGGACGACTGCATCCCTTCTCTTTGAGTGGGCTATTCCAAACCCCCAGAAACCACTGCTTAAAAACCTTCAAGTTTTCATGAAGCCCTCACTGGAACAAGTCATCGGTCATGTTAGAAACCTTTCACAGACTCTTTCAAAGCGTGCCGATCGAGAGCAACCAGAACCCAAACGGCGACGTCTAAGCCAAATCATGACAGGAGTTTATAAATTTCTTACAGATACTAGTGCTTGTAGCGGTACCGATTCTAATGGATTTTGTTCAGCCAATTGTGATACAATTTGCAAACAGCTTTCCGATATTCCCTGCGTTCTTGTAGAAGGTGGACGTGTCTTCGTCCGCGGCAACCAGCTTGCGTTTCATCTTGAAGAGGAACAGCCGCCGTACCTGTACAAAGTTCCTCGAGAATATGGAATCTTTGAGCACTTGCTCAAGCGACTTGGAGCTATGGAGAAAGCAACACCTGTGCAGTTTGCTCAAGTTTTAACTAATCTCAGAGAATCTTGTGGAGACGAGCAAATGCACCCCAATGAATTAAAAGTTGCGAAACAGGCTGTGTTTGGCCTATTTACTACTTTGCACGCCATACTCGACGGAAAAGAAGATAGCAGTGGAATTAGCCCATTAGCTGAAGTCCAAACCCTGTATCTTCCAAACAGAAAAGAACAGCTCAGGCGATCGACAGACTTGGTCCTATTTGATTGTCCTCAGTTCAAACGTCGTCTGTCAGATTCTATTTTCGAGTTTCTTGATGACCTAACAAAATACCAATTAAAGATGGAAAGCCCTAATAAGCTCGTTGACCTTTTGCCAGACCACTTGAAAACAAAGTCCTTGGGATCCTTGGTGAGGGAAGAACTTCAGGCCGAATGCAGAGAAAAGAAATGCCAAGCTGACGTGGAAGAGAAATGTGAGGCTACGGATCGTTTACGTCACATATTGTACTCGCCAGATCTCGTAAATGGAATTCTACGAATACTGAAATCCCAGTACGACAAAGCCAAATTGACAAAAGAGGTCTGCGACAAAGTTCACAGTTTTCAAAAAGCACTAACCATCAGTTGCATGGAAACCTTATGCACGGAGTTAATCGTTAATGAATCCAACACAGTAATTCCTGAAAGTCAGAGACGAACGTACTCTGGTTGCTTCGTGGGGCAGGACAATGGTAAAAAGCACATCTTCATCCAACATGGTGCTGAGTCAAGTAATACAAGGAGAGAGATATGTTCTGAAATATACAGCCTGACTGGCTGTTTCATCAGGGAACAGAACTTATTACTCTTGGCTGCTATCCTTGAATGTCCGTCTCCGGCGAATATTTCCATGACACTGGATAATGCTGGAGTGTCGGATGATGCAGAAGCTGCCGAAACACCAGGTATGGAACCGATTCTTGGTTCCGAGGTCCCCGTAGAGTTACACGAGCTTCTAGAGCAGTACAGCGACTTCTATTTTCGCCCAGGAGAGTTTGTTGCATATGAGATAGAAGATTCGACCGAGGAGGAACCGAAATATATTCATGCAAAAATCGTCCGCCAGATTAAAAAGTCTAATTCAGCTAAAGTAAAAAAGGACAGAACAAAAAGAAAACAGAAAGGAGAGAGTAACTTGCTTAGCAGGTATCTAATAGACATCGGCCAAGAAACGAAAGAGGTCGACGTACTGGATTTGTACAAGTTTAGACGACCGCAGAAGAGCGGGGAAGAGGAAGAAGACGAGGACGAGTCTATTTCAGAGTCAATGGAGGTTGTGCCTTATGCAGGAGAGAGTGACCAAAGTACTGGACAAGCAGGGGCGGAGTCATCGAGGCCCGCTCAAGAAGCAAGTGAGCCACCCAAGCCTAAGACATTGGAGAACGCTCTGAGAGAGGTAAAAAAAGCTCTTGCCGAAATTTGGAAGTTTCCAGAAGATAAAAGAAAGAAAGCAATAAGGCGACTATACCTTCGATGGCATCCGGACAAGAACATGGACATGCAAGACATTGCAAATGAGGTTATGAAGTTTATACAAAACGAGGTTGAAAGGCTATCAAAAGGAAAGTCGTCAAGCCGCGATGAGGGGTATCCAAGACCACCGCCACCAGATTTTTCTGACTTCTTCAAGCAGTGGAATGAAAGAGCTCGACGACAGCACTCAAGCTACGCCAACTTCCGCCGCCACAACCCACGATTTACAGGTTTTCGATCACACCCGAGAAGGACCTACACAGCACCTAATCCACGCCTAGCAAAGATGTGGATTCGTCAAAGCAAAGTAGACCTGCGCTCTGTAAAACATCTTCTGTCTTCCCGAGATCCACTTTACTACCTTGTCTGCTTCCAATGTCATCAAATCGCGGAGAAATCTCTCAAAGCAGCTCTTTACGCTCTATCAGGAGTCGATGACAGGCAGCTGAAATCTAATGACTTGGTTCTATTGGCAAATGATCTTTCACGGCTTCCTGGCGCTCCAGATGTGACACCGCAAGTAGCCAAGCTGTCCAACTATTACGAGGGCACTCGATATCCTAACAAGCACATCCCAGCTAAAGTGCCTGCTGAGGTGTTCCAAGATTCTCAGCAAGCACAAGAAGCGTTCAGACTGGCCACAGAAGTTTTGGAAGTACTAGAACAGTTTGTTGGACCATAATAGCTGTTGATGACTCTCATTCAGTCTCTGTGACTGTATAACATTCCAAATACTGTTAAAAATGTAACTGCTTTACCTTAGGCATCGGGATCTTAAAAATAATTGGAAACATTTAAACTAGCTAAATGGAAGGACACTACTAGCGCATCTTTATCTCAGCATGACGCTAAATTTTGGCCAAAGTGAACTAATGTTGCTTATTATGATTCAAATATTCAACTGAAGAGAAATTGGCGATTTGTATATAAAATTAGTTTTTAGCATCCTAGTTGTTTTGCATTTTAAATTTTTAACCAGTAATATTTTACTGTAGTGACAAGGCTCTCTTCATAAAGGGATTCATAAGGTAACGAACATTAAGTTTATATCACTTTTTTAGTGTTTTTTTTTACAATTCTCGTTGGTTAGTCGTGGTGCATGGTGTTGCTTACAAAAAAAAATCTTGCACTGCCAATTTGAGTCTGTGTCTCCGTAAAACGAACAGAAACAAAACTACCTCATGAGAAGACCGAGACCTTTCCAAGAGTTCTTAATATTTTGTAGTTTGCCGAAGTGATAGGAACACATTCGTATGTTTTTGCAATAGCAGATAACCATAAGGAATCGTTGCATACATTTTTTCTCGTCAAGGGAAAATGTTTTCGAGTCTATATTTACTAGAATTCGTTTTAAATATTAACGTTGAATTATCAAGGGACCAAAAGTGATTCTTTGTAGTTCAGAGTAATATGAAGAATTTTGTAATATTCTAATAATCCATTAAATGGAAGGAAATAATCCAAGAAATAAGATTGTTGGCTTGAAAAATTACCGCATAGTATTCTGCTAGCAACGTGGCTTCCTTTCCTTTGAAAGTTATAAGTACTGTTTCTTCACTTCATGATAAACTGGTAAGTATCGAGAGAACTATTCTATGGGCTTTGTTTTCTAGGAATTGGGCAGAAAGGAGGGGCTCATTTGTGTTGAAGCCTAGGTTGTGTCTCCAAGCGCGGGTAACTCATTCTCAAATATTTTTTGCCAAGACTTGCCGCTCACATTCTTCTTTGCGTAAAGGAAAAAATTCTAACTTGTACCTGAGCAAAACGGGGTAAAACAGATGGAATTCATCAGTTGAAGCAGTAAGCTTTAACAAGTTCATGATCACAGGAATAAAAGTGACACCACTTCTGTTATGCCACAATAAACAATACTATACTTAGTAAAAAAATCCTTTCATTCTGATATTTGATTACTAATTCACTGCAAAGGCTTAACAAATGATTTTCAAGTTGCAAGGATAAAGCCGATTGAAAGTAACAGGACTGAGTGGAATACCAAACTGGGAAAAATAATCCATCTAGAAATTTGTCTTTTACTGTGGTAGACTTGACTAAAAGTGAGTTTGGGACAACAACCAAAGAGAAAATTTGGGCCTAACCAGAGAGGATGATATGGTTGATTTGGAATTGTACAAGTGTTAATTAACACCATTTGGAACACACGAGAAAAGTAATGAAGTTCTGAGAACACAATACTTAGACCCAACACCAATCTGGGGTAAGAATTTCTACAGTGCACCATGATAAAAACAGCACAAGGTAGACCTCTTTCACCCTAAAACCATTATCTTATTTAGGACAACTGCTTTTCACTTCCTGCCCAAGGTAATGTTAGTCTACACACTCTGGAATGTTATCAAAGGAGAAAATTACTGTGAAAACTCAGTTCAACACTTCTGATGGTTTAACTTTCCAAGCTACCTGTTAAAGGTCCAACTTGTGGTTTGGTATTCCCTGAAAGCCTGAACACTGTATCACTTAGTTTGTGGTAAATCCCTGACCAACTTTAGACAACCAAATCACTCTCAATATTCCAAGCTTGTTTGCAAAAGTAACACAGCTTTGTAAAAAACATTTTTTCTTTTGATGAAATTGACCTCACAAGCATTAACTTAGCTTCCCTCTGTATTCCACTGGTGGACCTTGAAGGAACATGATAGATTTAAGCTTACCCTTTTAACTCCTATGAGTAACCAAGACAGAATTTCTCCCTACAACATCAACCAGATAAGTGATAAGAACAAAGAAAAATATCAATTTGGGGATAATTAGTTGATCCAATACTAAATTCTCTTGGTCATTACATTGGTCATGGGTTCAAATCATGTACAGACCTGAATTTGTTTCAGGCCTTATTTTCATTACTGCTCTTATTTTCATTACTGCTCTTATTTTCATTACTGTGAAGATCGCTTTCATATTCATGTCTTTATCCACAGTTCACATATATGATTTTCATATATTCACAATCATCTACTGTCAAAAGTATTTCAATAGATACATCTCATTATTTCCTGGATGTCATCACATGAACAGAGTATTAGCAAAATGTTATCTGTTCATGCAATGCCATCCAGGAAATAATCAGATCCTTCATCTCTGAGCATGCATTAAGAACAACTGAACTAACACCTCACAAGAGGAACAAATGCAATGGCTGGCAAAAAACCCAACAAGAGCAAAATTCAAAAGATATTGTATTAGTTAACAAAACATGATGACCTGTTCCTTCTGCTTTTTTGGTAGAAAGTGATGTTTATATTGTGAAATGAATGACATTCCTTAAACGTTCAAGGAGGCACACAGATATATGTTTCTAGGGCTTGCAGAATGGCAGTAAGTTACCAATACCTACATCTGATCAGTATAGTTGGTTATTAATTCATCATCTTTTCAAAAGAGAAAATTCTACATAGTTCCTCAGTTTGTCTCTGTATTAACTTCTTCCTCAGTCAACTCAGTGGTACTATTGATTTCAACTTACATAATGTTTTCTTTGGAGTGAATAAAAGTAATGAAGAAGAACATTGGTTGTTAGTTATACTCTAAAAAAGGCAAAGCTTACAGGGAAATTGATCAAAGTTAAGAATATATAACTTTTGACAAAAATTTATTGAAAGTGATTTCAATCTGATTTCCAGAAAGACCTTTCTTTCAGACCTGTTTGCCATATGGAATAAGCTTAGGAGTGAAAGTATTGGTGAAAATGGAAAGTCTACAATTAAGAGGTTTGGTCTAATAAATACCAGGGTTAATCACAGTTTGTGAAGCAAACATTCCCCCACCTGATAACAAAGAGAATGATCAAGCACCCCCACCTCCACCTCTAGAGGCAGGAATTTTCTCTCATTCCAAGGGAATGAAGTCTCCTCCCAACAGCACAAAGGCATCCTCAGTTTTTTTTTTAACCTCTGCATCTTCCAACTGGTATTTTTGACATCACAGAATTTCAACTATTTTGTGTCCTTGACAAAAGCTTCTGCAAACACTGGTAGATCTCGGTAATTTCTCAGCAGCTCACTGTTGAAATAATACACAGAGAAGGAAAAGCTTCAGGTGCTTTGCAAACCCTAAAATGTGCATGGGGTATGTATTTTATTATCGAAGAAATCTCAATAAAAGGATCCATGTTGCAGAGGCCATATGCACCACTTTTGCACACAGTAAAGCCCATAAGCACAGTCCATTATACTCATGCTTCATGAAAATTTGATAAATTTGAACCGACTCTGAGGGGAGTGTATATGAGAATAGCAGGTTAGGAATGTGAAGCACATACACTATCTTATACCTCTGGAAATCTGAAAAAAGCATATCCTTATACCTAGTTTATTTGCAGAAATAAGCGGTGACTAACCTCACTTGTCCTCTTTTGTTTTTGCCAAGCATTCAAGAAATGCCCAAGGTAAAAACCTCTATGCACTTTATGCTTATTTCAGAAAAACGCTTTGTTTTGTGTCTTATTCATAGCCAAAGAGATTGTCTCATTTGGCTCAAACTCTTAAGGGTCAAATGACAGAAAAAGCATTATGTTCAAAACTGATTATGGATGAAGAAAGAATCTAAATGATTAGGAAATTTTGCTGTTTTGATTTACAAAACTTTTCCCTGTTCTTCTGAACCCCTAAAATAAAATATTATTGGTTTAATCACTCTTGCCCCATGCCCCTTCATCCCTTTTGCTCTCAAAACATCTTTATTTTGTTCTTCAATGTTGACTTCAAGAAAAAGCACATTACATCCCTTCAAAACCATAAGCTACTTAGGAAAGGTTGAAAAATACAGGGTAGTTAGACTGTACGGTTACTTACTCCAAGCTTTACTGAGTAAGTACTTACCATTTTTCGGTGTATTGGGTTTTACACTTAATTAAAAGTTCCTTCTGTTCTTCACAGCTCATTTCTATCCCAGGTATCTTGTCTAACAATGCTCTGCAGTGTTGCAACTTTGCACGGAAACCATTAACCTACAACAACATTTAGAACAAGGTACTTATGACATGAAGTGTGATTGGGCAACTTTTTTCTTGTGAATCATGATATGATTTTTTTTTTATTTGCAAATCATAATTAAAGATCTTTTAATGTTCACATGAACGAATTCTTTCATTTTATATGACCTACAATTAAGAGCTGAATTAAACATGGTTTGTAAACCATTTTGTTTTGCATGATGAATTTCTGGCTATTTCATTGTTTGAGAAATATACGTATTGTCCTTGAACAACTGTGGTTAGGTTTTGACCAGGGTTTTGACAGGATATATACTTCATGGGTACCAATAAAAGGCATAAAATAGAACATTTATGGTTCTTGAAAAACTAAGATAAGACATTACATCATCTTTTGCTGCATCAAAAAGGTGAAAATCTACATACAATTTTTCCAATTCCAATGATTTTCTTGGGGCACCTGTCAGTTGAATGTGTATCAAGCAGTCACCCATAAGGAACTGCTTAATAGTGAGTGACCAGCTTCTAATTTCTCTTTATAACATCACCCCTGAATCAAACATTAAGGTCATGAGAATAAAGGAAATGATCACCAATTTATAAAGCTCTTGATTGTTAAACAAATTCTCCTTGTCAGCATTTCAGGAAATGTATAGAGAACAGTATAGAGAATATGCAAACTGATGTTAGGGGGTAAAGGGTTGATACAGGTTCCCCAGAATAAGGGTATGGTAAAAAAAAGAAAAAAACAAGTGCCGTTCTATGCCATAATTGACAACAATTGTACAAAAACTTGCTAAAAAATGCTACTTACATTGATTTTGGTAGGTAAACATATATTAAATCTTACTTGAAAGATTATTCTTAGTTTTATTTGAATGGTTCAACTTGAAGTGACCGTTGAATTTAGGTGGAGAATAGAAACCGTTGGGAATCAGTTAAGGGTGTTATAGAAGTGACCGCCTAATAGAGGTGTAGAAGTTGAGAGAGAAATCGAGGATGACCAAAGGAGCTACGTTTCATGTGGCTTGGTGTGCCTTTTACGAGCATTTATCAGCGAATGGTTTAAGCTATCTAAAGGGAAGATGTTGTTAATGACATAAATTTATGTACCTTCCTGCAGCTTGTTTAAGAGGAAAACGTGAACAACTTCAGAAACAAGCAATTGATGTTCTTTGAAAGTAAGTATCATGATGGAAAATTTGATTTTCCCCCATGATTTCCTCTACTGGCCTTTTCACTACTCATTCTTTAAATTTTGCAAAGATAATTATTTTTCTTCTTAATCTGGGTAACATCCATCGCCAGAATATCGCTGAACGACCTCGCTGAACTAGCTAGACTCTGCCTTCTCTTCATTATGTAAGTAGCCATTTCTTGTTTGACTCATCGGCGTTTTCACATTGATATTTCATTGTTCCGC